CAATCTCCAGTTGGGGCCATTCAGTAACCGTATGGTTTCATTGACATCGAGCGCGAGTTTTCCGAAGTACACAGCAATCTGTTCTTTAAAAATTGGGCATTCGCCTACTAAGTGTATAACATCGCCTTTCAATTTAAGGTTGCATATCGTACACAGCGTGTCTAGACTTTCGTGCGGCACGTAGCACAATCGTAGGAGCTCGCCACGGGTTTTGAAGATTGTCCTTATTGTTTCTATGTCATATTGCTCGTGAAGGTAATTATTGACACCTAGATCATAATTCAACTTGCTATATGCATCTCTCGATATACTGTTTCTCGCCGTTTCTACAAAATTTCTACGTTCTTCAATACTTAGTTTCGTTATTATATTTTTTTGCCACATTTTCCAGTTTTCATTAATACTCAAACCATTAGTTATATTTAACTCGGATGCCAGATTTAACCATTTTTCAAAAAATAATTTTTTTTCATTTATTAGGTACTGCGCTAATGTTTTTTGAATCCTATTGCTTGGCAAATTCCTAACACGATTGATGTAATCAAAATGCAATTTTAATGTTTGGGTATATAGCGTCGGTAGACTAGTTTCTAAATGCACCATATAATTTGGGCTATTTTTCGGCAAACGAAACGTTCTCTTTATATAAAATGTTTGCAATTTTTCTACTGCGTCATATTTATCAACACCCCAGATTTGCGCTGCATAATTTAGAACTGACTTAACTGTGGCTTCAAAAACTTTGTATTTTACGGGCAGTGACACTTTCGGATTTCCTAAGACATTTTTCCAGGTACAATGAATAGCCAATTAAGCTTCCTTTAACTTTTCGTTCAAGTGGTTATCGAATTTTGCGTTATATTTCATATTTATTCATAGATATTTATAATTATTAACCACTTCTAATTGATGATCGTTAAGGTACCATTTTTCATCATTTCTTAATCTTCTAGCATGTTTCTTGTTATATCTGTATAATTTAGATATTTATTTATTCAAAAAACTCCAAGTTATTATTATTTCACAAGTTCCAAATAACTGACAGAATTAAAATATTAATTCTTCTTTATCTGTCATCTGTCATCTTGGCAGAGTTGCCAACACCTCCCCTTTTGAGATTAAATCTCCAATGCGGTGATTCTAGGGTCTATAACGGTCAACAGGATGTCTAGTACGCCTTGGTCGGGTATACGGAACAACTGCCTCATTGTGCTTCTCAGTTTGAGGGATTGCAATCTCGGTTACTTCGTTGAAAGATTGATTTGGAGTCGAAACCATGTTGTTGTTAGTTATTTCGACCACATCTGTAGGTGTTGTTTCGTAGAGGCCAAATGCATCAACTAAACACTTTTCGTTGGCGATATCTTCGGAAGTACATATTTCTAAAGACAACTCATTTCCTTGATCTTTTCGGTCACGAATTTGATTGGCATGTGCACGAATAAGTTTGCCGTTTTGTAAGCGAACATTATAAATGACGTTACCTATGCGTTCGATTATTTTACCTTTTGTCCATTCAAAGTGTTTGTTTTTGAATATATTGACATAAACGAGCTCTTGTTTTTCGTAAAACTTTGGCTTTGCACCGTGCCTTTTGTCAAATTGCGCTTTCATTTTGAGTTGTGTATCGCACTTGTTTTTAAACTTGGCATTTGGGTCTGACACCAGCGTTGGTTTAATCAAGTCAAGTTTAATACGGATATTTCTTTTTAGTAAAACTTCAGCTGGCGATTTACTGTCCTCATTTTGCTTATTCGGAGTAGATCGGTAAACTTGTAGAAATGTTTGAAGATTTTCAGCAGTTACCCCCTTCCCATTTAACTTTTTGAGTGCTCGCTTTAAAGTATCCACAAACCTTTCGGCTTGTCCATTTGACATGGGATAGTACGGACTGCTTCGTATATGACTAATGCCGTTTTCCGCTAAAAACTGTTGAAATTGGTGACTCACAAATTGAGTACCATTATCTGAAACTATTGTCTTCGGTAACCCAAATCTAGCGAAAATTTCTTTCAAGCTGGAAATTGTTTGAGTTGCTGTTATAGATTTTGTTTGTATAATTTCTGGCCATTTTGAGAACGCATCGATTACGACCAAATAGTAGTATGAATCTATTGGTCCTGCATAATCAATATGGAGCCGTTCCCAAGAATCAAAAGGTTTTGGCATTTTAGCTGCTGCGGCACAATTTGAACAACTTTTCACCATTGCTTCAATATCGTAATCGATATTTGACCAATAAACGTAGTTCCGCGCGATGGCTTTAGTACGACCTATGCCTTGATGACCTCGGTGAATTTCTTTAAGAATGCGCTTTCGGAAAATTTGAGGTATAATAATGCGTTGTCCGAACATTAAACATCCGTCAACTATACATATGTCGTTTTTTCGGTTAAAGTAAGCTTTTAACTCACTGTTGTTGCAGTTTGATGGCCATCCTTCAGTTACATATTCGAGAATTTTAACTAAAACCTTGTCCTTAGCTGTTTCGTAAGTAATCATTTTGCTGGTAAGCGGCAGCTTATCAAGTGAGTTATGTAAAATTTGTTTACTTTCAATTTCAAACTCTACTGCAGCGATGACATAGTCTTCTGAAGGATTGATTGGTTGGCGCAGGCATTGTCTTGATTGCTTCAATGTTTTTTGGATCTGGGCGAATGCCGTCTTTACTGACAATATATCCCAAGTAAGCAATTTCAGGAACTGAAAAATTGCATTTTGCGATCTTGAGTTTAAACCCGTATTGATAAATACGTTGT